CGTGTGCTTGTTGACTGACGTGCACGCGTTGACTGATGTGCACGCGTTGACTGATGTGCGCAGCAGCCAATTGGATAATCCTTCTTGACGCATCCACTCTTCATTTCGAGCTGCGTGCAGGACCTTGTAGGCAATTTTAGATGCCTACAGTAGAATATATTTATTATTTGTATATCAATCAAATATCTTTAAATGTAATGCATGCAAGATAAAAATCATGTGGAACATTTATTTTGATATACTTTTTTTATTAATGATGATATTTCTATAGTTCATTGATCTTTATATGTAACTGCATGTGACTAGCAGTTGTAGAAGACTACAAAATTACATGTAACCCCTTATAAGATTTACAATTCCCCTACCCCCTCCCCCTCACCCCGAAAAAGTTTAAAAATTTCACCCCAACCTATCTCAAAACACTAAATAAATTTGTAGCAAATTGAATAAGCACATTGAAAGCGTACTGAGTACATTCACATCGGGTAGTATAGTTTTTAATATTCTATTTTTATTTTTATGTGAATAAATACTTGTTATACGCACCTAAGAATTTTATTTTAGATCCACCACTACATACAACCTAACTTTATTTATGCTAAATTAAGTCGGCATGCTTCCACAGGTAGAAACATAAGAAATTACATCTGCCATTCACCTTTCCAATTTATGGATAAAGTTTCCTTCACAATGGTAGATACCAATTGGCATCTCAACATTGTAACACAGGCAGATGGTTGAATTGGTCTATGAAGAAGAGGCTAAAAGGAGGAATATGAAGATGAAATATGATTGTAATGTAGCTACTTTGATAATCCTGATAAGCAAAAGGAACATAAAATTTCACTCTTGCATGAAAAGTTAAACTCTCATCACTTCATTTGCATTCATTTTAATACAATGCAATAAAGAAATAAAGTTCCAATAAATTCTTAAGTACTAACGACAACTTTCAATACTACAGTGGAGCTTTTATTGTTCCAAACAGAATCACACCCTAAAATACAACATAACTCAATACCTCTCATTTAGAACCAAGTTTAATTAACATGTTACAAAAGAAATTAACCCTTTCCTTAAAGGTTAAAATCCTAATAACTTCATTTAGGTTGATTACAATACAATGCAACAAAAAACTTTTTCTTATAGTACTTTCACAATCTAATGGAACTCTTTGGGTTCAAAATAGAACTCAACAATTAAACTGCTCACCTCAAGCATCCTTCCACAAATAGCATGAGTGATCTTATCTCCAAACTTCCTCTGCTTACTAGAAATAATTGCGAGACCTGATATAATTGACTTCGAATTAAATGTCAACTCCGAAAGCAACTCTTAATACGCTTGAACAATCTATTCACCGCCTCAATCAGGGCTTTGGATTGATCAATAATGCAAATCGGAGAAATTTTGGTAAGGTTTGATACTAATTTGCATTGATATTAAGAAGATGAGTAAGTGTAGCATTTTTTATATGAGTGTTGCTACATGGACCAAAAATATGGGATCATTGGAGGGGACAAGTGAGATATCCCCCTCCTATTGCATAATGAGTTGGCATTACCAGCTTATTAGCAATAGGGAGGGGACACCTCACATGTCCCCTCCTTTTGTCCTATATTTTGGGTCCTTAAGGCATTTTTCTTTTTATATTTATATTTGTGCAACTATTGACAACTAAGAAATGAGGCATGAGGAAAGTGGAATAAAGTATTGTTTAATAAAGAGTAGGAAGCGGAAGGAGACATGCTTTCCTTGAAAAGGTTGGATGTTAAATGTGTATGTTTAAGTTTGATTTTTCATTATTTGATTGTTAATTGGGTAAGTAAAGGTTTGGTAAATTAAGTTTGAGTTTTGATGGCCAAGTTAGGCTCTTGGAGCCCCACTTGGGCTAGTAAGTATTATTGCATTAATAGGCATGTGAAGAGAAAATAAATTAAATAAATTAATTAATTAAAGTAAACTCAAAATTATCAATTTTGAGAGGGATAAAAAGGGTAATCAAAAGTTTTAACACCTAAATCTCCTTTTATATGTAGTATAGTATAGATATAGATAGATATAGATATAGATATAGATTATCGCAATACATTAATACATCTTATTTTCACTTGTACTTCACACATGCAAAGCTGCACGCGCACAACCATAGACCAGAACCACACTACACACATCACACACACGATTAGTTAATCCACACGAATCAAAGCAAACCAAACCACATTCACAAGCCATTCATCAACCTAAGCAGTGGCAGCCGACGAGTGCACGTGCTTTTGCGGCACAAGATGCAGCTTGTGATCGAACCACTGCTCAAGCGAGTGCGCTTTCAAAAACTTACCAATCCCTTTATCATCCTTCTTAATATTCTTCAGCCTCCTCCCCATCTCCTCCACATCACCCTCCTCCACCTCCCCTCCCTTCCTCTCCCCTCTATTCACATACATCACCGCCGACCTCATGTAATTCGCCGACAGCGTCTTCGGCCACGCCCACCCGATATTCACCAGGCTCCCATCGCTCGCCGTCAACTGAGCCAGAACCAATATATCCTTCTTATTCTCATTCCTCTTCTCCTCGAAGAACGGTATAAACCCCATACACACCAAATCGTCAGGATGCACGTACAATCTCGGCGCCCATCCGTACAAATGCTCGTCAGCATCCTCATCACTGCCCAGCGCCGATTTTAAAAGATCGGCCAAAATATTCTCGAACTTCTTCAGCACTGAGTTCAGCGATCCCTTTTCTGGATTATCCGACCCGTAAGTGAGAGCTTGAAACGGGGGGTTAAACAGAAACGTGTCGAATTCGGATTTGTCCATTCCGTCCTTGATTACACTAGTAGAAAAACTAGCAACCTAGACGGAACAACCTAGACGGAATATTTTTCCGTCTAGTTTGATTCAAACTAGACGGAATGAATTCCGTCTAGTTTGTTCCGTCTAGGTTGACACAAACTAGACGGAATGTTCCGTCTAGTTTGTTAATCTAGACGGACAGATCAACCTAGACGGAATTTCCGTCTAGGTTGCCTCAACCTAGACGGAAATTTCCGTCTAGGTTGATAGGTCAACCTAGACGGAAATTCCGTCTAGGTTGCTAGGGCAAATTAAACCCCTCTTCAGCCCCCTCCTTCGGCGGTGTCCGTTGCGGAAATCAGTTTAAAAGGTATGATTTTTCTACTGAGCTTTAGAAATTTCAATTTTATTATTAATTATTGTTGAATTTGGTTAAAAACCCTAATTATGTTGAAAAATAAACGAGTTCAATTCTGAAAATCCTAACTTAATTAAATACATGTTAATTCATTTGAACAACACTAGTTATCATTATTGAGTTTTAAACACTTATAAACCCTAACTCATTTAAGTTTCATTCGTGCTATAAGTATGTGTGATTATTTAAGTTTGTGATGTGAAAATATGTGAAATAATTTTTTGTAAAAAATAGAGTGATATATAACACATTATAAATTTTTATAATGTGTTATAATCCAATTTAGGTGAATAAAAAAATAACGTTATCCCTAGACTTCCGTCCAATAATTACATCCAATTATTTGGACTTATAATATATGATATACGACTCAGATTTGGGTAGGAGACGAAGTTTTCTTCCAAAAATGAGCGTTTATTTTATATTATAGGAATAAAAAATTGGTACTGAAATTCGTAATTATTGGATCTGTCCTTCTCGGACGGGTTAGGAATATAGTAGTGCATACATCCAACTTTGTATACTTTGTATATTTTCATTCTTGAAAGTTTTGGCAGCACGTATTCGTTGTTCTCCGTGTACAATAAGCGTATGTTGTTCTGCGTTTCGGGCTATTGCTGATACGCATAATAACATCCGCACAGTGTACAGGGAGAACAGCGGGTAGGTGCTGCCGAAATTTTCAAGAAATGAAAATATACAAAGTATATGAAGTTGGATGTAAGCACTACTATATTCTTAATGGATAGAAGCCTTCCTATGACAGCCGATCAATTGGTGTAATTAGTTTCTACGTACGTTTCAAATATATTTTATGTAGAACTAAATTTATATTGTTAAATGATATATGAACGTATGTTAGATTTGTTTTGTATGTATAAGAGTCATGAATGTACTAGTAGTTGTGTGATTTGTCGTAGTTAATAATTATATATAATTTACAGATGAGGGTAATTCCTGACAAATCATGGATAGATATCCCACGGCTTCATAGATTTCGTGACACACGATACAAGGAGGGATGTGAAGCCTTCATACGTTATGCAGAAATGAATCCGAGAAAATTAGCAAGTGGTGCTATGTATTGTCCTTGTTGCATGTGTAGGAATTTGAAATTGCTGAATAGTAATGATATACGGATCCACCTAATGAAATCAGGTTTTGATGAAAAATATAAATATTGGAACTGGCATGGGGAAGGTATCACTGAAGATGAGGATCCAAATGTGCGTGTCGGTACGTCCGGTGGACAACGAATAGATGACACAGAAACAATGTTGAATGATATTTTTCCTCGACCTAGAGAATTTGAGGGTGATGATAATGTCGAGGATGATATCGGAGATAAAAGTGAAGATGATATCGATGTTGAAGCTGAAGAAGTAGGAGATGATGGAAGTGCCGAAAATATTGATGATATGCATTCCTCCGCAGAAATAGAACGAATATTGAAGCTACTAGAAGATAGTGAAAAGGACTTATATGAGGGATGTACCGAGTACTCCAGATTTTCATTTATGCTAAAACTCCTACACATTAAGACACTTAGCGGTATGTCAGATAATTATTTTGAAATGCTTCTTGATTTGCTTCGAACTGTAATACCTGGAGGAGTGAATAGCATACCCCAAACAACTTATCAAGCTGAGAAGATTGTCGCTGCTCTGGGTCTAGATTATAATAAGATTGATGCATGTCCGAATGATTGTATTTTGTACCACAAGGCCAATAAAGACCTTCAAGAATGTCCGACATGTGGAGTTTCTAGGTGGAAACAACGTACAAATTCTTCAATAAGGATTACAACGGAGACAGAGATAACACAGAAGAAAATTCCAGCCAAGGTGCTTCGACATTTTCCATTAGCTCCTAGATTGCGAAGATTGTACATGAACAAAGAAACGGCGAAAAATATGAGGTGGCACAAGGAAGATCGAGTAGATGATGGTAAATTGAGACATCCTGCTGATGCGGTAGCTTGGAAGCATGTTGATAAAATTTATCCTCGATTTGCCGAAGATTGCAGAAATGTAAGACTGGGTCTGTCAAGTGACGGATTCAATCCATTTGGGGTAATGAGCTCTGGTTGGTCTACTTGGCCAGTTGTACTAATGCCATATAATTTACCTCCATTGCTTTGTATGAAACAGCCATTTATGATACTTTCATTACTGATACCCGGTAAACATGCACCTGGAAATGATATTGATGTTTACTTAGAGCCTCTAATTGATGAGCTGAAACAACTATGGTCTGAGGGTATTGTAACATATGATGCCCATTTAAAAGAATCGTTTAGATTACGTGCTATTCTATTATGGACGATTAATGATTTTCCAGCCTATGCTAATCTGTCTGGGTATTCCACAAAGGGAAAGTGTGCTTGTCCTGTATGTGGTCCGGAATTTGAAGCTCTTCAATTACCACATAGCCGAAAGAGTTGTTATTGGTTTAATCGAAGGTGGTTGCCCTTGAGTCATAAGTACAGAAAATTATCAGCTAAGTTTGATGGCACAGTTGAGAAAAGAATGAAGCCGCGTCAACTCACAGGTACTGAGATCGTTCAATTACTTGAGGGGTTTCCAAAAGTTGTGTTTGGGAAAAAACGCTATTCTAAATTTAGCCCGCTCAGAGTAAGAGATTATTTAAAGTCAAAAAGGCCACTGAAGCGTAAGCGAAAGGTCCGGAAAATGCAAGTTGAGGAAGAAGACCAAAAATTACCTAGAGGATGGACTAAATTTAGTATCTTCTTTCAGCTACCTTATTGGCAAAATCTTAAAATCCGCCACAACTTAGATGTCATGCATATTGAGAAAAATATATGTGATAACATAGTATCAACTCTCCTACAAGATGCAAACAAGTCGAAGGATGATCTACGGGCGCGCCAAGATCTGACTGCTTTGAATATCCGAAATGATTTGCAAGCTCAAGATGTTGGACTTAAAAAATTAAAGTTGCCTCCGTCTCGTGTTACACTGACAAATGAGCAGATGCAACGATTTTGTGAAATTCTCAAATCAGTAAAGTCTCCGGATGGTTACTCTGCTAACATTTCAAATAATGTCCAAGTGCAAGAGCGAAAACTCTTAGGTCTGAAGACCCATGATTATCACGTTCTTCTCCATCAATTGCTTCCTGTTGCAATCCGTAACAATATGGATAAAGAAGCGTCGAAGATTATTATTGAGTATTGTGGGTTTTTCAGAAAATTATGCTCTAAAGTCATAGATGTAGATGAATTTAAAAAACTTGAAGCTGAGGTCCGAGTTACTCTATGCAATATGGAAGTAATATTCCCTCCTTCTTTTTTTACGGTTATGGTCCATCTTACCCAGCATCTTGCAAGAGAGGCTAGAATCGCCGGACCTGTTACTTATCGTTGGATGTATCCGATTGAGAGGTAAATTATATTTTTTTTTGCATTCATTACTTGTATATGCGTTTTTGAAATTACCGTGCTAATAATTAGTTATTTTGATTCTAAGATACTTGGGCTCCATGAAACATAATGTTCGCAATCGAGCTCGTCCAGAAGGCTCGATAGCTGAAGGATACGTGGCAAATGAATGCTTTATTTTTGCATCACGTTACATGCGCCAGAAGAAAACCACGGCTCAAGTACCAGATAAGGAGAGAAAGCGTGAAAAATATCCGAGATCTCTCTTAGAACAAATTCATGCATATGTGCTGGAAAACCTTGATATGTTCGCAGACTATCGAAGGTAACAAATAACACCCGAAATATAGATGAGACTATTCATTTTACATAATGTTCGCAATGCAAACTTATATATTGTTTATGTAGGCGACATTTGGAGAAGCTTAAGAATGAAACAACCGGTAGGAATGCAGCGCATAATATTCAGAAAAGACATAGGAAAGAATTTTCTGATTGGTTAAGATTTGATGTAAGTATTTAACAATTAATTTATGAACATTCATAATATAACATCCCCTAAATATTCTGAAATTTTTTGTCTTAGGTTGATAAATCACTTCTTGATGGTACTACGTTACCAGATGAAATTATTATACATGCACAACGCCCTTATTATGAAGTGAGACGTTATAATGAGCATTTGATCAATGGATATAAATTTCGAACGCTAGAGACTGATGATAGGAGGGTAACTCAGAACAGTGGGGTCATGGGCTTGTTTGCTCAAGAATGTTTTTCAAGTACAAGAGATCAGAACCCAATTCTAGCTGACATACTATATTATGGCCAATTAGAAGATATTGTTGAAGTAATTTACGGGTTTGGTAAACCAAAACAATGTACTTACACGATGTTCAAGGTTCGGTGGTGTCCTGCAAAAAAGCAAAAGGATCATTATGGATTTACACTTGTCAATCTCCATCGAGAAGTATATACGGATGAGAAATTCATTTTTGCAGAACAAGCTGATCAGTGCTTCTTCGTGAGAGATCCGAATGTCATATCTGATTGGGTGGTTTTGTACAAGGAGCCAAGATCTGTTGTTCTACCTAATAACAATGAAAAAAATATTGAAGAAAGTGAATATAATTATAGTGAACCAATTGGTTCATCTGATGATGTTTGGCAAGAATTCTCTTACGCACAGAATGTGGCGTTGGATGTAGGTATGTAATATATATGTTACACTGCATTAAAGTTTTTTAGCTAATCATAATAAGAACAATGCATTTCATAATAACTTATCTCATGAGCATGTATATTTTTTTTCTTAACTATGTTAATAATTGAAATTGCAGATGAGGAGGATGAGGAGACTCTTTGACCTCGAGGGTGATCGATCACGTAGTATCACCCCTGGTAGTGGTGCTGATGATACACTACCATCTCCGGATGCAGGTATAAAAATTAATTAATACTTTAATATATTTTATCAATTATTAATTATCTAGCTAATAGTGATTAATTTGTTGCAGATGCGGGTTATTCATCACCTGGCCCCTCTGATGCAGTACCAGAACCATCCCCTGATGCAGGTATTCAATATTATAATGCTCAATTATAATGGTTAATTAAAAACTATATTAATGATTCTCCTTTCTTATGTAGGGGATACTTGGACACCGACATATCCATCTTATACATTCCACACGGACTTGCGGCCAAAGACACAGGACTATCTTAGTTTACCTTTACCTCCAGCCTCTCATAAGTCTATGGCTGACGCAAGGAAGTACCATACACGTGCTGCGAGAAAATTAGAAGAAATGCGTGAAATGATTGAGACACGAAAGAAGGTTGCACTCGCAGCAAAGGAAAGAGAGATAGCGAATGGTAAATTGTATAAATACTTTTAATTTTCACATTTGTATATTATATGATATATTATCATGTTATTATTGTAGGTGCTAAGAAGGATCGTATCGAGAACAGACGTGGCGGAGGTAAGCCTGATTCCAAACAACCGCCAAGAGGAATGAGGGCAATAATTCGGTGGAATAGTTCTAATTTGCCCGTTGGTCCATGGTCGACCCGCTTGAATGCATATATTGGGGTTCTAGTGCGTAGAGCGACCATTATCAACCCTTATTTTCAATTTCGAGAACTACCATGGAGCGCATACGAGGCGATATGGACAGCGCTTATGGTAACTACATATTGCTATTACTTTTTATTTATTAATAATTAGTATTTGATATTAAATTATCTTTCCTAAATGTGTATGTAAATCTACAGGACTGCTTCTGCCTTGAGGACTTTGAGGGGGCTTGGAATTATGTGTTCAATGTTAAGGTTGAAGTAGTTCTCAAACAATGGAGGCATGAGATCAAACATGAAACCTATGACAGGTATGAGGAGGACTGGCAGAGGTTTTTAAACCTCGACGCCCGAGTTGACGAGGTTCATTTCACAGCTCTCCTCATGTATTGGGACAGCGATGCCTCCAAGGTTAGTTTCATGAAAATTACTTTATACTTTTAAGATATTAATTTATTGCATATTTGCTAATTTTTTTCTTTTAAAAAAGAATAAATCCACGAAGGGGTCAGAAAATAGAAGAAAGAAGCTGCATGACCACCACTTGGGCTCACACTCCTATGCCAATCTGGAGGATGTTTATTGTCAGGATACGGTAGATTTCCGTCTAAAGTTTTGATGAATTTAATGATTAGTATGATTATGAGTGTGATAATATATAATATGACAGGGAAAATCATTAATGCCAATACACTTGAGGGCGAAAGCGGCGTATGGCATTTTCCGTGATAGATATAGGGGTGATGAGAAGAATCGAGATAAGATCAAGGCAAATCTCGAGTTGGTGGTGAGAGTTATACATATCTTGTGTAGTATTATTAATTCTATTTTGTTGTTAATATTATGAGGAAATGAGAACACAAATAACATTGTCTTTACCATGAATTAATTATATATTTGTGCTTTAGGAGGGATTTGAGGCTGCATCCAAGGAGGCTGCAACTGTGTATATGTCGCAGCAGGAGGAACAATCTGAGCCGGACCCTCACATGCTTTCTGCAGAGGACAACATTACTCTCACACAGCATTTGATGGGTCATAATAGGTATGGATGTAGAAAATTTGAATCAATTTGAATACTACATTCCTATTTATATTTTTTTATCATTATTGAATTCGAGAGGTAAATTTAATATTTATTTCTCCCTAAACATAGGAGAGGGAGATATCCTCTGCATGGTGTTGGAGCTTCACCCGGCGTAAGCATGAGGTCATCCACAGCATCCTCCACACCATTTACATCCATGAGAGCAGCCCCGCCTCGGTTCCAGGCTATGCCATTTGTCGCACGTATCTCTGCATATTTGCTTGACAAGATTGACTCGGAGCTACATATCCAGGTGACTAATGAGATGACAAGAGTTGCGCTGACGGCGAACTCGATGGATGATCTCCTGGGGTATGTCATGCAATATTTAAGCGGTGTGATTCCTCATGGCGCGTATGGTGGTGTTATACGGATTATAAGCTCGCTTGGCGATAATTCCGGTGCTGGTCAGAGCAGCACTCAGGTACCTTATTTTTTTCTTAAAATAATAAATTCATTTATATTTAATATGTATTAAACACCCCTTAATGATTATTCAATTGACCATTCAGAGTGGAGATATTGGAGGGAGCAGCACACGTTCTCGTAACCAGGATAGAGATACTGCCGACGACGACGACCGATGAGGTTTATGAGGTTTTTTGTGGATTTTTAATGCAATGAACAGCTTTATCTGTTATAACAATACTTATATGCGTGTTGGATGTTATAACAATACTTATATGCGTGTTGGATGTTATAACAATACTTATATGCGTGTTGGATTTGTTTATTACGCTGGAATTGATTATATTATGGCTGGGTCTGTGCATTATGTTGGATTTGTATATTTTTGGGTTTGAATGGAATTGTCTAAAATCTTGATTATATTTGGATGGTTGGATGTATTCATATATACAGTATTTATTGTATGTATTCATGTATTGGTGTAATTGTACAGGGAAATACAAATTGTAATATATTTTTTTTTGCTGGAAAAAGAGCAATCTAGACGGAATTCCGTCTAGTATGAACCAAACTAGACGGAAATTCCGTCTAGGTTGTAATAATCAACCTAGACGGACTTCCGTCTAGGTTGGTTCCTTATAGACGGAATTCCGTCTAGGGTCAACCTAGACGGATTTCCGTCTAGGTTGAAGATTGATCAATCTAGACGGAAATCCGTCTAGTTTGATCCAAACTAGACGGTAACAGAATAAACCAATCTACCTAGACGGATTTCCGTCTAGATGATCCAACCTAGACGGATTGTAGACCAACCTAGACGGAAATTTCCGTCTAGGTTGGTCGTTTTTCTACTAGTGTTAGCTTGACCCCGACGGAGATGGCGACGGCTGCGCCTAGAGAGTGACCGGCCCTAGACGGATTGTAGACCAACCTAGACGGAAATTTCCGTCTAGGTTGGTCGTTTTTCTACTAGTGTTAGCTTGACCCCGACGGAGATGGCGACGGCTGCGCCTAGAGAGTGACCGGCGATCCAGAGTTTCGGGGCCGAGCCTTTTTGTGCGGATGTGTACTCCGAGGAGGTGCGGACGAATTTCTTGACCTCGTCTTTGGCGTGGAGGAGGCGGGCAGTCATGTCGATGGTTTTGGTGAAGAGGTTGGCATCGACGAGGACGTCCCAGAGGTTGGCGGTGCCGCGGAAGGCGATGACGAAGGCTGGGGCGG